CCACCTTTCCTCCTCCTTGTAAGGCTCTCACGATCACTGCCACCTTCCCTCCTTCCTGCAGGGCTCTCACCCATCACAGCCACCTTTCCTCCTCCTCGTAAGGCTCTCACCCATCACAACCACCTTTCCTCCTCCTTGTAAGGCTCTCACGATCACTGCCACCTTCCCTCCTTCCTGCAGGGCTCTCACCCATCACTGCCACCTTTCCTCCTCCTTGTAAGGCTCTCACGATCACAGCCACCTTCCCTCCTCCTTGTAAGGCTCTCATCGATCTAGGGGACCATTCACCACTTTTTCCTGTAACTCCCGTTTAGGTTCTACAGAAGTCACTGGAACTTGGTGTTTGCGAAACCGGGAACAGCTCAGGAAAAGGAAAGCCGAAGCACAAGACAAGCGCACATCACAGTGGCTGTTTGGGTATGGCACCCCTGCAGGGGAAGGGACTGACGGCCATGGGGTACATGCCACATGCCCAGTGGGCTGAGCACTTCGAGAGACTGTGTTTGGTGTTTCCAACATCCTTAAATCAGGCACTGGAATCTCTATTTCACTAAAAGGGAACCGAAGTCCCTGATGTGTGAAATCACTTGCCCAAGGTCACGTAGCTAGTAAAATGGTGAGAACAGCAGTTTGTCCCTGGTCTCTCTGAATTAAAGCACCAGGTGGTTGACTCATATGGTCGGCAGGCCTGGGGTTGAGCCGCTCGGCACAAAGAAACATGGAAGCGCCGTGTTGCTGGGAGCGGGGTCATCATTGAGGAAGCTTCCCACAGGTCTCTGGGTTTTCTGTGAATAAAACGGTTATGTGGTGTGGTTAACTCTCCACGGAGTAAGCCAAAACTTTGTCTGTGAATGAGTGACAGAGAGTTTAGGGAGTTCCAAAGCTCCAATCAAAGTCACCTGTACGTGCCTTTGAGTCGATTCCGACTCGCAGCCACCCCCATTGGGTTTCCGAGGTGGTAGATCTTTATGGAAGTAGATTGTCCCATCTTCCTTCCATGGAGTGGCTGGTGGGTTTGAACTGCCAACCTTCTGGTTAGCAGTCAAATGCCTTATGTACTGTGCTACCAGAGCTCCTTCAAGAAGGGAGGACAGACTATAAATCAGGCATCATCTACCTACATCCATTTAGAAAATGACTGCGAAAACAGTGGCTGGCTTGAAGGCAGAAAAGGACGCCCAAAGAGCCCAAGTGTAGCACCCACCTGAGCGAGGCCTTCTCAGCCACTGCACTGGGGGCCGGGTCATTCTTTGTTGTGGGGCCATCCTGTGTGTTGTCTCTTGGCAACATATCTGGCCTCTACCCTCTAGACACCGGTAGCACCATGCCCTCCAGTCATGATCATTCAAAATGTCCAGGCATTGATTGCTAAATGTCCCCAGGTGGGCAAAGTCACCCCAGTTGAGACTCACTGATCTAAGGTTCTTGCCAAGAGAGGGCTTTGTGCCCTCTGTGGATTGAGTATGACACCAGTTACAACTCCAATTCCCTCATCTATACCCACTGTCTTTGAGTTGATTCCCACTCACAGTGACCTACAGGACAGAGCAGGACTGTCCCACAGGGTCCCCAAGGCTGTGAATCTTTACATAAGCAGGTCATCCCATCTTTCTCCCACGGAAGGGCTGGAGGGTTCAAACTGACAACCTTTTGGTTAGCAGCAGAGCACTTAATCACTGCACCACAAGGACTCCTTTAGCTTACAGATGATTGGGAAGCAGGAGAATGGTGTCTGTGTAACGTGGCAGTGGTGCTGGACATGACTTCCCAGTCCAGGGGAGCCGGGACCATGGGAACAGGACTAAAACCTTCCCCAGGAAAGGAGAAAGCCTTCAGCCGGGCTTCGAATGTCTAAGCAAGATCCTTTTCCACGATGTCATACAAAGACTGGAAACGAGGGCCTGCATCCAGAGAGCAGGCCACCTGTGCAGCTGTCCCTGTGTGGCAGGTGCACTTCCTCCTCTGCCCAGCTCAATGGCAGCCCCCTCAGGCCCCGCGGCCACTCTAATTTGCATGGCCTCAACGTCTGTAAGCAGCAGCCACACTGTTGCCTTTGCATATTTTCCTACCCCCAAGACAGCCTCCGGCCACTCTGACCTGCCTGTCTGGACTATCTACGCCATCTCGGGCCGGCGGTACCAGTGGTTGTTTTGTTAAAAAGTCACATCGATTTTCAATCCTTTACTCTAATTTCATCCCTCCCCAGCCATAAACACTGTTACTTTTACTTCAGAATTTTGCAAAACGTTGAGTTTTTTCAGGAACTGCATGCATCAGATTATGACAGAAAGGCTGGACTTGGGTCCTGTGGCAGGTGATTCTGTTGAAGATTATCCAGTTAGTTCCCCTAATGCCACACCCACCAAGCAGGCTGCAGTCACCTGGCTGCCCGTATTTGCCTACAGAGAGTGTTTCATTTGCCAGCCCAGCCATTCTCTTCTGTGTGACTTTGTGTTGGTGGTAGTTAAGGTCATGTGTCATCTTGGCTGGCCTGGTTTTGAGTGGCTGGGCAGGTGGATGTAGTGATTCCCCATGATGAGACTGGTACTCAAGTCCATGGTGGATCTGCAGTGAGCAGCTGCATAGCTGCCTTAAGGATGTGATCTGTTTCTCCTTCCAAGGAGAAGCCTTGAGAAAGGTCTCGGAGCTTTTTCGTGTGCTTGGACCCTGCATGGAGCTGAGTTGTAATTCAGCAGCCTGCCATGTTGCCTGCTGATCTTGGGACTGTTTCTGGATTGTAACTAGTGGCCTGCCATGTTGCATAATAATCTTGGGACTGTGGCATTTCTACCTGTCAACCATGGGTTTGTCAGCATCAGCAGCCAGCAGCTGTGTGAGTTAAGAGAAGCCTCCAGCTGCAGTGGCCCAGAAGCAAGAGGCAGAGCTGAGGCCCGAGGCCGAGGGACCCTCACCCAGCCCTAGAGCTGGCTGGCACTCGGAACCCAGACTTCTGGCCTCCTGAACTCTAAGAGAGTAAATCCCTGCTTGTTAAAGCCATCTCTATCTGTGGCATTTCTGTTAGAGCAGCACTAGAGAACCAAAATGGTATTTCTGTTAATGTAATTGAGCTTTTGGTTTACCTATCCATCTCTGAGCCTGGTTCATGTGTTCGGCCCTTAGGAAATGGAGCTGGACTCGGTGTGCTGACAGAATTAGGGCTCTGAACTTGCTGGGCTGAGGGGGCATTCACCAAGGCAGATGAGACCTTGGCGAGCCTCTCAGCAGCTGGTTGGCCTTGCTTTGGTAGCTCATCTCCATGCTACTGAGGCCTGTATACCCAATCCTCACTCAGCAATTACCTCATTATCTGGCATCTCACATTTATGATAATAGTAAAAAGTCTACTAACGTCTGGCAGGAACAAACGCAGAGGGGTGAGGGGACAGTAATGCTGGCTGTGATGGTTAGGGTTGTGTGTCAGCTTGGCTGGGCCATGATTCTCAGTGGGTTGGCAGTTCTGTCATGATGTCATTTGGAAGTTCTGTCCTTCTGTGTTCATTTTGTGATCTGATGTGGTCACCCTGCATTCTTGTATAATGCTGCCTTTCACCTAATGACCTGGTCTCTGGAACCTCACATGTCAGTAAGTGAGGAGTGAGTGTATTCTGTTCTCACTAGTACATACCATACACAGGAAATATCAGTTCCAGAGAGAAGCAGCACAGGGAAATGATTAAGAGTCCAGCTTCCAAAGCCAGAGTGACTAGATTCAAAGCCCGGCTCCCCAGCGTCCTAGCCGGCTGACCTCGGGCAAGCTGCTCCACCTCTGTCTGCCTCAGTTGTGTCATTTTCAAAATGGAGATAAAAATAGCATCTACTTTATGGGTTGTGTGAAGATTATATGAAATAGCAATAAATAAACCACTTCAAACGCTTCTGGACACAGGAAACACTGCGCTTTCTATTTCAGTGTTAGAGAACTAACTTATAGCCAGGTAATTCACTCATGAAAGTTATTAGGTAAAACTGTTACAACAACCATATGAGGTTGGGCAGATATTCCCCCCATTTTACAGATGAGGAAACTAAGATGTAAGTGACTTGCCTGTTGTCACATAGTTGATTGGTGTCAGAGTACAGACTAAAGTCTAGGCCACATGGGTGCTTCATCTCTCTCCAACAACTACCAGGGAAGACACGCACATTGTATTACTCTATTCTCCTCCACAGAGATCTACATAAAAGTTAGTTAGCATTTGACATCTAGGATAAAAAAGTATTTCCTGAAGAATTCCGATGTACCTTTTTTTTTTTTTTTTTGAATCTCACAATAAGAATTCTATTACAATTCATTTTGCTACGTGGTTGCCTGGAGTTACAGCCGTGAATGCTGAGGGGCCATAACCATCTTCTTTAGACTCTCCCTTCTTCCGTACGATTTTTAATATTTATTTTTCACTGTCCTTATATATAAAGGAGCTCTGGTGGCGTAGTACCTAAGGCATACAGCTGCTCGTGCCTTTGTACAGGCTTCTGAACTTCAGAAAGGCATCTGCAGCTTTTGACACAGCTCACGCTCTCCGTTACTGGACGTGTACTGTAGCTAATTAGCATCTTCACATGAGACCCTGTGAAAGCTATGCAAGCCACATGCCTATCATGCCCCTGCGGGCTGCACAAATGGGAGTAAGGCCTGGGGGACTCGGCCGCTTTGTGGATCTAGAAACTCAACGGGGTCAGTTTACCTGGGGAGTAACGGGCAAACTCACACAGACTAAGCCCAAAGAGACTAGAGTGTAAATCAGGATGCTGATCGCTTTTTAAAATATTTTATTTTTGGTGGTGTTGTTGAAAATACACACAGCAGAACATGCACCAGGTGAATAATTTCTACATGTGCGATCCAGTGACGTTCTTCAAGTTCTGCAACCATTCTCACCCTTTTCCTGAATGGCTCTGCCCCCACTGACAGGAATTCACTGCCCTCAGCGTCCCACAGATTGCTAATCTACTTACAATGAGAACGATACATTTCCAGAACCAAACTTTCATTATATGCTAGCAAGCATGCGTGCACACACACACAAACACACACACCCCCACGAAGGTTTCTGGGGAGCAAAACACATCCAAGTGAAAGGGTGCCAGAGATGTTTCCTCTCCTGTCCACTGAGGACATCTAGCACCAGTCCTTCATTTGACAAACAAGGACATCGAGTCGGAGGTTAAGACACTTGTCCAGGGTCCTGAAGAAGGCAGTGGGAGGTCTGGGTCCATTATTACCAGGCATTTGTCTCAGTTCTGTGGCCCTGGTGCTGACTCTATTCACAATCTCTCCACAGAGAACAGAAAAAAGGCAAGCGGCAGAGAACAGACAAAGGAAATGGAAGAGGCAGAAAGAGACAGCGACCTGCGGAACTCCAGGGGGAGCCCTGGCCACTAGTAGAAAAGGAGGTGACAGAGGGAATGGAGCCTCCGGGGGGTGTAACCAAAGCCCACCCACCGGAAGCTGCCCACCGGAAAACGGGGGCTGAGGAGTGCGCCTCTGAAATACGCCAAGAAAGCATTATGCATCAGGGAACTGGTTCTGCGTACCAAGAAACAGGGGCGCAAGGTCACCCTTCTGAAACACACCACGACATGGCTGCACCTGAAGACCTCTCCCCTCAGATGTGCCAAGAAACAGCTGTACCCCAAGATCACCCTTCCAGAATCGACCGAGAAATGGATGAGCCCGAAGACCTCTCTTCTAAAATGTGCCAAGGAACAACTGTTCCTGCAGCCCTTCCTTCTGAAGTACCCAAAGATACAGCTGGCCCACACCATGCCTCTCCTGAAGAATACCCTAAACCAGATGTACCCAAAGGCTACCCTCTTGAAACAGACCAAACAACGGCTGAAACTGAGGAAGAGAGTTCTGAACCAGGTCAAGGAACAGCGGAGATGGAAGGCTTCTTGCCTGAAATACATGGTGTAGCTGTGTCCAAAGACCTTTCTGCAAAAACAAACCACGAAACAATTGAATCTGAATACGAAACGACTGTGCCCAAGGCCCCCTCTCCTAAAGCCACCCAAGAAATACCTGCGCCTGAAGACTATTCTCTGGAAATATACCAAGAGAAACCTGGGCCTGAAGAAGATTCACCTGAAGTATACCAAGAAACAGCTAGATCCAAAGAATATTCACCTGAACCGTATCAAGAAACATCTGGGCCTGAAGACCTCTCTACTAAAATATATACAAATGAAGACGTACCCAAGGAATGCTTTCCAGTACCGTCCCAGGAAGCAGGTGGGCCTGGAGGCCAGGGTCCTATAGCGCACCGGGAAGACGCTAAGGATGTTTTCACTTTTCCTCAAGGTAGGGGCTGTTTATTGGAGACAGGACAGTGCCAGTGCCACTCAATGGTTTTCTCCACTTATAATCTCAGCACCAACATAGGTAGATCCCCACCAGAGTGGTGATTTCCCATCTTCCGTGACAGTCCCAGGTTATCCCCCGTTATCGCAACAGGTACCGTGAATGTCATCGGTTAGTTTCAAGTCAAAAATGGTTTTCATTCAATCAGTGTCTGTCTTGGCACAGTTCCAAAAATTTAAAGCAAATAATTGAAAATGCAGGCATGTACAATTACCCGTTTTGAGAAGCTTTAGCCAATGAGGGAAATAAACCCAATTTGGATGAATTATGTGCAAAGTATTTTAAGGGACAATTAAGTCTAGATTTAAAAAAGTGTGATGAATGAGGTTTTTCTGGAAAATTTAATTTCCCTGATGAACTAAAGTCAAGTAAATCCATGATACAAGGCACTGAGGGAGATACAACGTACAAAATAAGACCCTATTGCCAGGGAAATTCCAGTCTTGTGAGATTTGTCAGGTTTACCAAAATCCAGTTCTATGTCAATATTTGAGGCGGAAAAGCTTCCTCCCCCCCTTTCTCCAGCATGCCCTAGACTTTGGGAAATCACGTGACCTTTCTTTGGTGGTGATCTTGACTGGCCTTGGGGACAAAACCGAGAACGTGGATTCTCTTCGTCTGGTGTTGTAGATGGAAGGAAATGGGCTGAATGTCCCTACTCACAGCTATACCAGGGAACCATCTGCTAGAGATCCTGGTGGTGGTGTATTCCTTTCTTAGTAGTAGTATTTTTACTATTAGAATGTTAAATGAACATCATAGGAAGTGATATTTATTTAGCACTTCTATGTGCCAGCCACTATAGTAAAAATTTCCTGTGAATTATTTTGTTCAATATTAGCAAGCCTATTGGATAAGTAATATCATCCCCATTTTATATATAAAGGAACTGAGGCACTGAAAGGTTAAATTTGTCTGATCATTTCCATTGGCTAAATCCCTAGAGGTGGGATTACTGGTCAAAGACTACTTGAGCTTAAAGACTGGATGTGTTTAGCCCGATGAGCCTCCAGAAATGCACTAATTCACGCAAAACAAGAGGTGAGAAGACCACCTGTTTGCCAATGCGTGCCCACACTGTGCACTACTATGACATTTAAAAGAATTAAAACACTGCTGCCTGTTAGGATTTTTTTTAATGAAAAATCATTGTTTAAATGTCTTCTTCGATTATTAATGCTGTTAGGCATTGTTTTTGATTACTGACAAATTGAATTTTGCGTGTGAATTGCCTGTTGAATCCTTATCCCATTTTATTTTTGGATGCTTGTTCCTCTTAACAGATTTAAAACCTCTTTAAATAGTAGAGTTATTAAACCTTGACCTAAATATAGGTTGTATGTATATTTTCCAATTGTTTAACTATGCTTACAGTATTTTTTGCTATATTGAATTTTAATTTTTAGCTAGTCAGACATGGCAATCTTTTCCTTTATGGTTTCTGGTCTCTGCGGCATGATTAGAAATGCCTTTATAATACCAAGATTATAAAAAAAATTTCCTATGTTAAACATGGATGCTATTTTAATATGTATATATGTTTATTTATACTTTATTTTGTGTGTGATATGAGATAGGCTTTTTTTCTCTCCAAATGAGTAGTCAATTGTCCCAACACTATTTATCAGAACTATTTTTAAAATTTTATTTGCTGTTACAGAAATGAAAGAAAAACCCAAAGCCGAAGAACCAGAGATACCAGCAAATCTGGACAGTTCTCAAGAGACTCATCCGGAAAATGACATCTTTAGCTATGTTTTATTTTAACAACGCTCAGTCCTAAGAGTTATTGTCCAATGGAATACACGTCTCTGCAATGTTCATGGATATTTTCACTTAGTCTTTTTTGCACTTATAGACCATATCTGAAAGAGAGAACTAACATGATTTTTAAGCAAGATCTGGCTTGTGTGTATGTGTGTGCATGTGTGTGTGGTAGTATTGGTGAGAAAAGGCAAAAGAAAAGAGGAGGGTTGAATAATGAATTTTTCCTCCTCAAAACAAACATTTCTTGCATTAAATACTCATGACAGATAAGTGATTAATTCTGAACACGTAAAATCTTTTGGAAGTATAGAGTTTTCTTGTAAACTTTGCTCAATTATGAACGTAACAACAGCATCAAAACTTTAGTCAGGCTTTCCTTGGGTCTTTGGTTAATTTCAACAATGCTTATCGTTCTGGTACATCTTCCAAGATAGTTCCGAGTTTTGAGTGTAGTTTATTTTTGTATTTGTATTTTCATTTTATAGTTTTAATTTTTAAGTATTCTGTTGTGCACAACCTGGCAGTGTTTCGTCCTGTTGTACACAGGGTCGCTATGAGTCGGAGTTGACTCAGCGGCACCTAACAACAACATTTGTGCAAAATGAATATTAAACAATTATTACAGGCTTAACTGTGTGGCTGGCATCATGTTAAGCACTGTGGGGGCTAGAAGACCTGTAACATATAATCCCTGCCCACTAGGAATTTAGTCTAGTCTCATGGGCAATAAAATGGAAAATAATTACAAAGGAATGTAATAAATGCTGGAGACAATAAAGGAAATGTTCACTTTTTGCTGGAGCGAGCTGCAAAGGGGAATCTTGAAGTAGGGAGGGGATTAACACAGGTGAGGATAAGGCGCACATGGTGCGATACGTGGTGTGGTGACTGACTTGGTCTGGCTTTTCTAGCCAGCCTTTGGGACTCCCACCAGATCACTGGGTGGGACCATGCAAATAAGGTGTATGGAACTCTAATGTGCGGACTGGTTAGTTTTGCTATGCCGCCAGGCTTAAAATGAGCCCTTCTAGAGGCAGAGAGGGGATCTCACTGCCATCAAGAAAGAAGAACCAGAACAGAGTGGAGTGTGTCCTTGGACCTGAGATCCCTGCACTCGCTGGACCTCCTGGGCTGAGACAACGGTGGCAGAGGCATGAGTGGGGTGCACCTAAGTGGACCCATCAGCAGCGCTAAAAGAGCTTTGTGCCACTTGTCCGAGCAGGGCAGAAGTGAGGCCTGGAGGCCGAGGGCCAGAGAGGAGTGTCTGAGGGCACAGCAGGGGGGATCATCTTGATCGAAGGATTATATCCTGAGTGCATTCCTGAACTGAATTGTAGCCTGTTACTTCCCTAATAAAGCCCATATTCGTGAGTACTGTCTGTGAGTTCTGTGTGGCCACTGCAATGAATTATCGAACCCGGCAGGGTAGCAATGAGTGCCGTAGGAGGGACCGTTGGTGTCAGAACTGGTAAAGAGGCTGGAGAGCGGTTGTCTGTCTGGCCTTACAGGAATAAGCCTGGGGCTGCTGCTGCTGAGTCTCCCTCCCTCTTGTCAAGTTAGAGGAGGGCAGAGGCTGCTGACGCCATGCCCTTTCTGCACTGTGAGGGACACAGAGAAGGGCCAGCTCCAGTCATGCTCAGAACGGCATGCAAGCCATCCCAGTCAGTGTTGGGTACACATGGAGTGGCAGGCTAGCTAACGGTTTGGTATTACAAGCTGGATGGTAGGGAATTGTGCATACCTAACTAAGGAATAACTCCTCAGAAGGAAGGTTGGGCAATCTACTTCCACAGAGATACCGCCTTGGAAACCCAAGGAGGGGTCACCATGAGTCAGGTCCGACTTGACGGTACATAACAAAAACAACAACAACAACAAGGAGTACATTACTTACCTTCTGGGTTATGGAGAACTAGGTAAGACTTTTGACCAATGGCGGGCAGGTTCAGTATTTGAAGAGATTTATTTGGTGATAGTGGTCATGATGGACTGGATATGACATGAGGTTGGGGCAGCAATAGGAACCATCCCCAGGGAAGATGCTTGAAAATCCTCCTGGTATTTTAGGGGACAGAGCTGGTGTTTTATTTGTTTCACTTCTCCCTCTGTCATTGAAGAGGATTCAAAGTAAAGGAGACTGCTGCCAAGGAGGGTTCACTGAGCCAGGGACTCGACCTCTCCTCTGATCACAGTGTGAGCCCGCAGCAAAGCGCAGGTGCGACCCGGCCGGGGCACTCCTGGGGTGCTGCTGTGGCCCCCAGCTCTCCCGGCGCTAGAAACACTGGGGGAGGCCCGAAACATACAGATGCCCAGACCCTTCCCTGGGGATGCTGATTCAACTGTCTAGGGGAAGGTCACGCACAGGTGTGTTTATTTTTAAATTGTTTTGTTTTTTGCTTTAAATAATCCTTTTTGGGAGAGCAATTTTATAACAATAGAAAAGCTGCAAAGATAGTGCTGAAAATGTTTACCCTAATTACTTTAATGTTAGCGTCTTACATAAGCACAGTCCCTTTGTCAAAACTAAGAAAAGATCATTACGTTACAAAGATTATTAACTCAACTATGGACTTTATTCTGATTTCACAGAACTTTCCACTAAGGTCCTCTTTATGCTTCAGGATCCAATCCACGATACCATATTGCATTTAGGGTATTTTCAATTTAAAATGGAGCCCTGATGGCGCAGTGGTGAAGCACTCAGCTACTAACTGAAAGATCAGTGGTTCAAACCCATCGGCTGTTTCCTGGGACAAAGATGAGACAGTCTGCTTCCGTAAAGATTTACAGCCTTGGGCCTACAGGGCAGTTCTGCTCATATGGTTGCTGGGCGTCAGAATCTGGAGGCACTGAGGTTGGGTTTAAAAACTCTCTGAGGAATCCTAATACGCAGCTAGGGCAGAGACACTGTTACAGTCAGTGGTTATAAGGCTGTTTCCCCTCTATTTTAATTTTTCTCTTTTCCTCCCCAATAGTTAAGCTTTTTCTCCTGAGGGTATAGTCATTGCACAGTTGTTATGAATACCCCAGTACAGTGCTCATGTAACATTTGGGGTACGACTGCTCCTTACATCTGTTGTTGTTAGGTGCCGTCGAGTCGTCTCCGACTCATAGCGACCCTATGGACAGCAGAACAAAACAGCAGTGCAACACTGTCTGATATCTTACATCTGGATATGGCTTCAGACTTCATGTAGCTGGCCCTCTGCACCCCCAGTTTCTGCATCTGGGTTGCAAATATTTTTTGGAAAAAGCAATTTAGTGGTCAGAGCAACCCAGCAATCCTGGGAAGGCTAAGAGGGAGAGTTAACTGCTATTTACATATCATTTACATCACATTAGGTGACATAAGAAACCTAGAGATGATTTAGAGCTAACGGAGGATGTGTGTAGGTTGTGTGCCAATGTTGTTGTTGTTAGGTGCCGTTGAGTGGGCTCTGACTCGTCGTGACCCCGTGGACAACAGAACCAAACACTGCCCACTCCCATGCCAGCCTTGCTGTACCTGAGCCCACTGCTGCAGCCCCACCTCCTTGAGGGCCTTCCCCTCTTTCGCTGACCCTCCCCTTTACCAAGCATAGTATCCTACTCCAGGGAATGGTTTCTTCTGACAACATGACCAAAATAGGTGAGACGAAGTCTGGTCATTCTCACTTCCAAGGAGCATTCCAGCTGCACTTCATCCAGACAGATTTGTTCATTCTTCGGGCAGTCCATGGTATGCTCAGTATTCTTCGCCAACACCACAGCTCAAAAGCATCGAATCGACTCTTCTTCAGTCTTGCTTATTCATTGTCCAGCTCTCACATGCGTATGAGGTGATTGAAAATACCATGGCTTGGGTTAGGTGCACCTTAGTCTTCAAAGAGACTTTTTTTTTTTTTTTTTGCAGCAGCAGATTTGTCCAGTGCAGTAAGATATCTGATTTCCTAACCGCTGCTTCCATGAGTGTTGATTGTGGATCCAAATTAAATGAAATCTTTGACAACTTCAATCTTTTCTCCATTTATTGTGATGCTGCTTATTGATCCAGTTGTGAGGATTTTCATTTTATGCTGAGGTGTAAGCCATACTGCAGACTGAAGTCTTTCATCAATAAGTGCTTTAAGTCATCTTCACTTTCAGCAAGCCAGGTTATATCGTCTGCATATCACAGGTGTTAATGAGTCTTCCTCCAATCCTGATGCCACGTTCTTCTTCATATAGTCCAGCTTCTCAGATTATGTGCTCAGCATACAGATTGAATAACGATGGTGAAAGGATACAACCCTGACACACTCCCTTCCTGATTTTAAACCACGGAGTATCCCCTTGTTCTGTCTCAACAACAGCCTCCTGGTCTATGTACAGGTTCCTCATGAGCACAATTAAGTGTTCTG